CTCGGCTGTTGAAACAGCTTAGATTCAGGTGTTATAGAAGTTTTTCTAATTTGCCACTGTGTTTTAACAGTTGACTTATGTTACTAAGATAAATCATACAGAATTCTTTTTGAGAAACAGATATAAAAACTCAATAGATTTTGTATAATTGAGAAAACCCTAAGGGCTAACTAAACCAATTAAATATATTAGAAGAACATTAAATCATGGATTTCATAGATACGATTTCCATTAGTGTTTTCTTCTGAAATGATATTATAGTTTTATGAAATATTTCTATTTCTATGGGAGTATTTAAAGTGGGTCAACGTACGGACGAACAGTACTAAATATACATATACATGGATTTCAAATGTTTGGCATTGAGCGTTCCTGATGAAGGTAAATCCAGTAAAAGCGCTTCGGACGCATGAAATTATTAAACGTGTTGTTTTCAATTTTTTACATCACTGGGTCGATACCTCTGCTGGTGGACTATCAGTCATCGAGGGTATCATCAGCTCAGTAGTCGGTACTTCGGTACTGACATGATTTATAACAAACTTTTCTAAAATTGTCCGTTTATAAATTTTGAAATTATAAAGAAACTAAGGTTTCAACTCCCTCAGGCAAAGTTGACCTGAGATGAATTTGGCTATTTGTTTTAGGTTTTTCTGTCATATAGCTCTTCAACTGTTTCGGTACTTATACATTCCTCGGATTTCAAATGTTTGGCATTGAGCGTTCCTGATGAAGATAAATCCAGAAAAGCGCTTCGGACGCATGAAATTATTAAACGTGTTGTTTTCAATTTTTTACATCACTGGGTCGATACCTCTGCTGGTGGACTATCAGTCCCCGAGGTTATCATCAGCTCAGTAGTCGGTACTTCGGTACTGACATGATTTATAACAAACTTTTCTAAAATTGTCCGTTTATAAATTTTGAAATTATAAAGAAACTAAGTTTTCAACTCCCTCAGGAATAGCTGACCTTAGATGAATTTGGCTATTTGTTTTAGGTATTTTTGTCATATAGCTCTTCAACTGTTTCGGTACTTATACATCCCTCGAATTTCAAATGTTTGGCATTGAGCGTTCCTGATGAAGATAAATCCAGAAAAGCGCTTCGGACGCATGAAATTATTAAACGTGTTGTTTTCAATTTTTTACATCACTGGGTCGATACCTCTGCTGGTGGACTATCAGTCCCCGAGGATATCATCAGCTCAGTAGTCGGTACTTCGGTACTGACAAGATTTATAGCAAACTTTTCTAAAATTGTCCGTTTATAAATTTTGAAATTATAAAGAAACTAAGGTTTCAACTCCCTCAGGCAAAGTTGACCTTAGATGAATTTGGCGATTTGTTTTAGGTATTTTTGTCATAAAGCTCTTCAACTGTTTAGGTACTTATACATCCCTCGGGTTTCAAATGTTTGGAATTGAGCGTTCCTGATGAAGGTAAATCCAGAAGGGCGCTTCAGACGCATGAAATTATGAAATGTGTTGTTTTCAATTTTTTATTCATTCTTCAAAAATGGCAAAAGTAAATTTACGCAATAATTTCTGAATTAACAGTCATTTTAAAATTAAGGAACGTATCTTCCTCGTGCATTAATCTGATTCCTTGTACGGGTTAAGCTTTACGTTTGGTCAATTTTGATTTAATCAGATCTTCAACGTTTGTATTAGATTTTGGACTTTCATGTATTTTGGCCTCGAGTATCACTAACTAGACACTAAATGTTCGAAATGCTTATCTTGTTCAGTAAAATTGGTACAGTAAATTTTATTTTAGGCGAACATCTAGACGACCCGGCAATATATCATTCTTTATAAGGATACGGATTTTTATCAAGTTTTTTATATGGATAAGGATTTTTGTGAAGTTTCTCTGTAAGGATAAGGATTTTCAGTAAAGGACTTGGTAAACTAACTCATAGTTTCGCTGTGATAGTGTAGTGAAAACTTGATTAAAACATATGCTAGAATAGCCAATTGTTTCAGTTAAAAAACATATTTTATTAATTGCGTCATTAGTGACGTAATTGTGACGTCATAATGAAGGGGAATTTCATAAAACCTGATTTTTTGCAGAATTCTGCAAAATTTACGACATAGTTCTCAAAATTAACAGTAGCGCCACCATTCGCCCACAAATATTTTTGCTGAAATATTCTTTATATACCATATTTTTTACTTCTCAATAAACATTTCAATGGGCGAGGGGTGGCGCCACATACCAAATCATGAAAAAAGGTGGAAAAATTGAAAAATGTCTAGACAAATGGACGAAAACTAAATCTATTCCTATTTCAGGTTAATATATTTATAAATATGAAGCAGATATATAATTTTCGTTTCATACTTTTAAATATCATACATTTAGCAATGCATGCCCATTAGATTTACTTAATAATTGAAGTTAGAAAAAACACATTTACAGGGCCGTTTATTTGTGTTCCTGGCCTTACTCCTTTACATGTAGGTGTCCAGTATAAAGATTAGGGATTTTTATCGTTATTTGTTTTTTTTTTATGTTACCATGACATTTAAAAAATGATACATATATTGCTTAGTTTCATCATTTAAATTGATAACGCTTAGAACAACAGTTCATAGATCTAAAAATAGATAAAAATGATAAATATAGTCAAAAGAATTAAAATAAAAATAATACATAATAACAATCAAAAGTAACAACGTAATCTTAGAATATTGCGTTTGAAATATAAAGATAAAAAAAATGAATAAAACATACATTTGTAACAAGAAAGAACGAAAAAATGAAAGAAAGATAATAAATAGATAGATAAAATAAATGATGTTCTTGGGATAAGTCTTTCCGTATATGTAGGATAGAATTGTTAGAATCAATTCTTTGGTAATACTGTCAATATCTGGTTTAGTGTAGAACTGTCAGAATCAATTCTAGGATAATACTGTCAATATCGGTTTAAGTGTAAAACTGTCAGAATCAATTCTAGGGTAATACTGTCAATAACTATTCGTGTGGAACTACCAGAATCAGTTCTATGGTATGTCTAAAATTGTTCTAGGTAGGAACTGTCTGAAACAGTTTAGGATATAACTATTTCTGTAATAATCTTTTTAAAAGGTGTCAGAAGTACTGGTCTCTCGACAGTTACTGTAAGATTTGAAAAAGAGATTTAAATAGATCCCGACAGTATATTTTATATTGTATCCAAGCTGATTCAGATATTTCCATTACAGTAAAATCTAATCTCGTAAATCATCTAGCGAGTCAATGATTGTTGACATTTAACTACTGGTAAATCAAACATTAAATGCTTCTCTAGATTTTTACCCGTATAAACATCTAAAAATTAAAACTAGACACAAAATATTATACTTCAGCGAAAGCAACATAAACCCCTTGAAACAAATATAGTTGAAACACAGGTGACCATGACGTATAAGTCATTCATGACATTTCCCTATGTATAAGTGGCACTCGTAGTATTGCTGATGATCATTGCAAGTAAACATTCAGGGACAATTCCCATTGGTTGGTGTGACTACCATGGTACAGAGGAGCAGATTATGGATACAATATATCCGTGTTATCTGTGACACGGATGATGTATATTTACAAACCAAATGATGAATTTATACGTTAATATTTCGATGGTATGACTACAACTTTACCATAAGGATCATCTGGTTCAATAGCTTCATAACGAGCAGTACAACCTATATCAAGTAAATCATGATAGGAAATGCTAGCCCTTTGATATCGTATCAACTTTGAAATACTTTCTCATTACATTGTACAACGAATGATGTTTTCAATGGACAAATTAAAATGCTGCTCTTGCTACAGTTTTAAATGTTTTAACTAGTTCAAATCAATTTTGTTCAATGTTTGTGATTTTTCTACTAGTAAATTCCTATTCATCATTTGTAATGGAAAATCCTGTGTTCATTACACATTTCACATTTGGTAAAGTTTCAGTATCACCAGCCCAGTAGTCAGCCCTTCTGTGCTGACATGAATACATAATCTATCAATAATTTTTGCTTCTTTTTCCCAGAAACATTTGACGTCACAACGTCCTGTGTCGTGTTTACCCCCAAATGACTCCAGGTCAAACAGGGTATTCATAAATGAAATCGAAATCTTGTGATCATCAATATGGTCATGATTATGAATTAATCTTAGATTTCTTTCGAAATACTAAACATTTTCTACCAGAGAAATACATTAACTAAGCTGTATTTGTCAAAACCTTTATGAATTTGGGTCATCAATGCTCTTCAACTTTGTACTTTATTTATTATTTTTGTTGTTGACTTTTGTTATTCATGCCTAACTGATGAGTTTTTGGTAGAGGAAACGCGCGTTTCGTCTGCAACAGACTCATCAGTGACACTCGAATCATGATGTCAATTTCAGAGAATGTTTTGTTTGATGGAGAGTATTATTTTTTTGTTTATAAAAAATGATTTTTCCCTTACTTAAACAAGATATAACTATCTACGTTGGACATTCTGTTGTATAGGGACTAATTCTTTTAATCTGTATTTAAATTTAGAACCAGGACTATTGGTGTGAAGAGTAGTGAAATCAATATTTTTAAACTATTACATGAAAAGATGGACCATTAAAACAAATCTAGGGGTAAAACCAGGTGCTGCGGAAGAAGATGCAGTTCCTGCTTCATTTTGTCGCCCATAGACAGGTAAAATCAGTTGATATAGAGTATTTGAAGATATGTTATAAATGTGGTTCTTGTATATTCCTAGGATTTCGAATGAAAAAGGGATTTTAAACGATACCGTTTATTGTTTTTCAACTTCGAAATATTCATTTCATACAATAATTCATAAATTTTAGATATTCAATAAAAAAAAAAAGCATAAGTAGAAAGAGATAAAACTCTATTGGTTAAAACACAAGTTGTATTATTCACAAAACAATCCTCATGTTTTAAAATCCCTTGTTAGGTAAAAATATATATATAACTTAAATATGATTGCGAAATTAAATACTTCAATCAAGCTGTTGAAAAACCGATTTATTCAAACATTTTATACATTTGTGTTATTATAACAAGATATTTCATTTTATTCATTTTTATAACGACTGATTTAAAGGTCATTGTTAAAGTTTAAGTTTATTGTACAGTAATGGAATTAGTTCATGAAGGCTAACTGTCTAGTTAATTTTATTAATAAACCAATTTTTCATCTTCCTAACACCATTCACCGAAGCGCCATCTTTTTATATCTGAAATATATACAAGGTAAATTAAATTCGTATGTATCAAATTCTTGACTACAGAAATAGTAATTGATAATCATACAAGTTAAATCAAAGATCTATTTAACAGATAATTGCTTACCTGATAAGTGCAAGGTGTATTATATATCTACAGAAATAAGGAATACAATCTCATATTGTTAACAGAATTCTAGTATTTAATCAGAAAGAATTTGTCAAACCGTCAGTATATTTAACTCAGCATTCATATCTATTGTTTACCGATGTGGCTAATATTTAAATTCCAGGAAAAAAATCACCAACTAAACCTTGCAGGCTTACAATTTTGGGCGCCAGACTTGCGTTTGTTTAAAAAAAACCTCTAAAGAACTTCTGGATAATTTAAAATCTCGATCTTTCTCTGAAATTTATTCTATCAAAACTTTTGATTTTTCAACCCTGTATACCACCATTCCCCATGTGAAATTGAAAAATCGTCTAAAAAATAATTCATAATGCTTTTCAACAAAAAATGGTAGCATACGCTATACATTTATTGCTTTGGGATAGCATACGGTAAATTTTGATAGTGAACAAAAAGGTAAAACATGCTACACAAAGTAACAATTAATTAGTATGCTGGAGTTTTCTTATTGACATCATATTTGGAGATAGACTTTCCTACAAATTGTCGGCATTCCTATGGGAACGAGAACTGTGCGCCTCTCCTTGCCGACATCTTCTTATTTTCATATCAGTCGGAGTTCCTCCAGACACTTATCAATAAACAAGAAGATCATAGAAGCCAGATCATCTAATTTCACATTCAGATATATTGATGATGTTCTTTCCATTAACAATTAGCAAACTTTTCTGATTGGCTTCCCTTAACATATATCTCCAGAACTAGAAATTAAAGAAACAACAGACACGGCTTCCTCCGTCTCATATTTAGACTTATACATTGAATTTAACATAAGCGGTCATCTCAGTACCAGAATCTATGAAAATCGAGACGGTTTTAATTTTGAAATTATAAATTTCTCCCACCTTAGCAGCAACAAAACTTCCCCTGCATATGGGATATACATTTCTAAACTCATTCGGTATTCAAGAGCTTGCAGCTGCTACTCAGACTTTATTAAACGTCACCAGTGTCTGAGCAGAAAGTTGATAAACCAGGGTTATGTCTCGTCCTTTTTCTAAAAAGGTTCATCGGAAGATACCACGACCTTGTTGATAAATATTCCTTACCAACTTCACAAATAATACATGATGGTCTTGAAGTATAGATATAGGTACTGACGTTGTTTATCCTCATAATTCCATGTTATATGTTCTTTGTATTTGTCTTTGTATATTTTAACCTTTACTGTTTCGTGTATTTTTTAAATATACTTTTGGCGTTGCTCGGTCATTTTTGTATTCTTGTCCTTTATTTTGCTTATGTACTTTGTCTATAGAGTGTATATATGCTATTTTGTTTTTCTTTTTGAAATAGTTATTTGTTTTTATAGATTATAAGACAGTGTTGACTGTTGCACCCTAATTTTGGACATTTTTACCTATCATGACTGCTCGTTTTGCTCACACATTGTTGTCAATATAATGGAATTTTATGCGACTGTCATACAATTGAGAGATGTAGCTAGCTATAAAACCAGGTTTAATCCACCATTTTCTACATTAGGAAATGTCTGTACCAAGTCAGGAATATGACAGTTTATTTCCATTCGTTTGATGTGTTTGAGCTTTTGATTTTGCCATTTTATAAAGAACTTTCCTTTTTGAATTTTCCTTGGAGTTCGGTATTTTTGTTATTTTACTTTTTATGGTTTTCTGTATATACTAATATTGCCTAAAACTAAGTTTTCTCATATAACGGTTAAGAAACAAATTGTCTATCAAATGGAATAGGTAAATACTATTCATCAATGCATGTAATCAATTAAATTGTTCGTGAACAGTGTTTTATATTATCGACTACTGATTTCCATCTAGATATAGGAAGATGTGGTATGAGTGCCAATGAGACAACTCTTCATCCTAGTAACAAATTATAAAAGTAAACCATTATAGATCAAGGTACGGCCTTCAACACGGAGCATTGGCTCACACCGAACAGCAAGCTATAAAGGGCCCCAAAAAATACCAGTGTAAAACCATTCAAACGGGAAAACCAACCGTTTAATCTCTATAAAAACGAGAAACGAGAAACACGTATGAACTACATAAACAGACGACAACTACTGTACATCAGATTCCTGACTTAGGACAGGTGCAAACATTTGCAGCGGGATTAAACGTTTTAATGGTACCAAAATTTCTCCCTTTTCTGAAACAATAGTATAGCATCACCACATAGAGAGACAGACTATAAAATATCAATTGGAAGGCTTAACTCAATAAAAAAAAAAAAAAAAAAAAATTAACACACAATGAACGAATAAATTTGATCTGTGATACCTGAATGCAAATACAGTTAATAAAAATTATAAGGGATAAATAATTAAGGTCAAAAGTAAACAACAGGTTTAAACAAAGTTAAAGTATGATACCACTGTGAAATGTTAAACAATATTTAAAAAATAATCACTTTTGAAAAAACCTGCGTCATATTATACACAGGTAAATGAAAATAATTTTGTTGTTAATTATACTACTTCTTCTGTGTGTATAAAATCTTCCGTTTAGGAATACTAAGAAATTTCTTTAATATCAATAAAACTAATCTAACACTTGGTACATATAGGGTGAATATCAACAATAAAACTATACAATAAGTGCTAGATAAAACTTCCTGTACAGTTACAAGAACAGTTTTTAAGGAGAAATGAAATAATTTTGATGTTCATGGTACGAAGAAGTGAACATTTGTAGTAATACTAAATAATCAAAGCTGGTATATAGACAAGATCCATGTTAACATTAAATAACAAAAAAGCATTACAAATAGTATCAACAGGTCAAACTAAAAAGAAAGTACGATTTGAGAGTAATTGCAGTTACTGACAGCTAGTTAAAAGCCAAAACAATTAATATAAAAAAATCATGCATCAGAGACTGAAATCAACTAAAACACATCCCAGGGATTTAGTATTTTAACGTCATGAACAGTCAAAGAAGACATGACTTATGCAATGCCAAAAATAAATGTATCGACAGGTAGTAGGATAGTTAGGAGTGACTTCTTTATAGATAACAAGAGTACACACGCTGAAATGTCTCGCCTTCTTTACTAATCATTGATATTATGTTGATAGTCCTAAATATAAAGCTCTATTACAACTGTCACATAAAATTAACATTAACCAAGTAAACTAAACATAGACCAATGAACCATGAAAATGAGGTCAAGGTCAGATGAACCATGCTAGGCAGGCATGTACAGCTAACAATTCTTCCATACAACAAATATAGTTGACCTATTGCTTATAGTTTAAGAAAAACAGACCAAAACACAAAAACTTAACACTGAGCAATGAACCTTGAAAATGAGGTCAAGGTAAAAAATAAAACCTGCGTGACTGACAAATAGATCATAAAATATTTCCATACACCTAATATAGTTCAACTATTGCATATAGTATTAGAAAAAAAGACCAAAATTCAAAAACTTAACTTTGACCACTGAACCATGAAAATGAGGTCAAGGTCAGATGACACCTGCCAGCTAGACATGTACACCTTACAATCATTCCATACACTAAATATAGTAGACCTATTGCATACAGTATAAGAAAAACAGACCAAAACACAAAAACTTAACTATAACCACTGAACCATTAAAATGAGGTCAAGGTCAGATGACACCTGCCAGTTGGACATGTACACCTTACAGTCCTTCCATACACCGAATATACTAGACTTATTGCTTATAGTATCTGAGATATGGACTTGACCACCAAAACTTAACCTTGTTCACGGATCCATGAAATGAGGTCGAGGTCAAGTGAAAACTGTCTGACGGGCATGAGGACCTTGCAAGGTATGCACATACCAAATATAGTTATCCTATTACTTATAATAAGAGAGAATTTAACATTACAAAAAATCTTAACTTTTTTTCAAGTAGTCACTGAACCATGAAAATGAGGTCAAGGACATTGGACATGTGACTGACGGAAACTTCGTAACATGAGACATCCATATACAAAGTATGAAGAATCCAGACCTTCCACCTTCGAAAATATAAAGCTTTAAAGAAGTTAGCTAGCGCCGCCGCCCCCGCCGCCGTAGCCGCCGCCGCCGGATCACTATCCCTATGTCGAGCTTTCTGCGACAAAAGTCGCAGGCTTGACAAAAATGAACGTGTGTGTGTCTCTATACATCCCGTTTGAAAAGAAAATACAAATTTAGTTAAGTTTTAATTTGTTAATGACAAAATCAATTTCAGTGCCAATGTAAACTATATTCAGAGATCTAATTACAACATTGGTACGATAACCCTTACTAATAAGTTTGTTTAAAGGTTCGATGAGTTTACACGGCTCCGCGCTTTAAGTACAATATTACCGTAAAATTAAGGATGTGAAATACCATTTTTAATAAGTTTTCTACAGGTACAGCCAAATTTACTAATCAAATCTTTGTATCTATGAAAGAATTTAGTAAAAGTTTTAAGTAATTTATGGTAACAAAATCCCTGACTTAATAATTTACCAGTGATGCATTGATTACGTTCGTTAAAATCTATGACATCACTACACACACGGACATACCGAACGAGTTGGGATATATAAACACCGTATGATGGAGCCAAAGGCACATCGCCGTCTAAAAAAGGAAAATTAACAATAGTGAATGAAAAATCGTCTCTTTTGTCGTAAATTTTAGTATGGAGTTTCCCTTTAGAAATTGAAATGTCTAAATCTAGAAAAGGACAACTGCGGCTGTTTATGTTAGATTTAGTTAAAGTAAGTTCTTTTTGGTAAAGTTCGGTAGTATTTTTAGAGAACTCTGGATTAGTTAACGAAAAAATATCATCCAGATAACGGTAGGTATTGTTGAATGTATCAACCAAATGTAACAATGATGTGTCTTTACTGAGTTTGGTCATAAACTGAGATTCATAGCAATACAGGAATAAATTTTCTATTAAAGGGGCGCAGTTAGTGTCCATAGGAATACCTACTACCTGACGATACACTTTATCGCCGAAACGTACATATATGTTATCTAGGAGAAAATTTAAAGCTTCAATCATATCCTCACATTTCCAGTAAGTGTATCTAGCATACTTTCCTTTTTCGTTACAGAAAAAGGCTTTAAACGAGTTACAGCAAATAAATTTACAATGAGATTTTTCGAAAGACCATTTTATTAAATATGAAAACTTTTTCTTTATTAGATTGTGTGGAAGTGTAGTGTAGAGAGTAGAAAAATCATAACTGTCAACAGAATTAAAAGGACCATCAAAAGCATGTATTTTATCTAAAACCTCTAAAGAATTTTTATCACTCCAAAAATAATTAATACCATTATTTTCATAAGCTTTATTACAAAAGTTAATAACCAGTTCTTTGATAGTAGTAAGGGAGGTAGTAAGAAGCACTGATAGATTAGTAGTAGAACATTTACTAAATGCGGAGATGAAACGGAATTTAAATGGTTTTTTGTGAAATTTCGGTAACCAGTACATGGTAGGGACTTTCAAATGTTCGGAAGAGGCTTTAAGCTGGGTAGTGGCAGTGGTGGTTTAGATATTGGAACGCTATGCTCTGTCATCATTATAGAACTAAGTTTGTAACAGTCTCAAAAATGATTTGTTTTTAATTTTCCTTGGAGTTCGTTATTTTCGTTATTATACTTTTGTCTATATAACACTCATTAAACAAAGTGTTTTTTCATCAAAATAGTTGAATTGTAAAATTAAATATGAAGAGCATTTGAAATCAAAACTCCAAATGTTTGTGACAAATACGGCGACGACCACTAATGGCTAGGTATAGAAAAACTATAGTATTTAGAATAACTCAGTATTTCATAAAACAATAAAATTGCAGAAATATGAAAATCAGAAAAAAAAACCAAGAGTTTCACAATCGTATAACTCTAAACGGAATGAAACTGGCTGTTTTGACAGAGGATTAACATCTCCAGATGTGAATGTATCATCAATCGTACCTTGCCAAGTCCTATCCATTAGTAACGGTAATTCCCAGCTTGATTTCCACCTTGAAATAACTATTAAGAAACATGAAAACCACTTCAAAATTCTTTAAAAACCTTTTTTGTGATTGTTAAGAACTACCATTTAACGAAAAACTCACCCTCAATTGCCATCAAAATTGTATTCTTGATCATAAAGAATATCGTCATATGTATTTACAGGCCTTTGTTCTCTTACATCTAAAAAATCATTTATTATTTTATTTAAAGATCCTAAAGATAACTGTTTATTTTGTAGGTATACTTCTGTTATAGATGCTGTGTCTGTGTCACGGAAATTCTGAAAAAAATAAAAAAAATTTTGAAATGTTTTGAATGTAATAATAAGCAAAAGTGACCTATGAGAGGATAGCAGACTGGTTTATAGTTAATCTACTGTTTTGTGGTTTCCATAGATTTAAAAAAACAAAACTCCCGCAACCAAAAATATTTTAATATATGACGATCTATTCTTTCAAGAAATCAAATATAGAAAAATATTCAACGAGTGACCGAACAACACATTAATTAACGCATAGTCGTATATTTGAATTCTCGGATAAGCTATTCTTTTTGTTATAACAACTTAATAAAAATCATGTAGAAAATGCTAGGAACTTTATTTTTGCTTCGCGTTCTCAATTAATTTAGATACTACGTCATCTACAACGTCTTGACACCAACCATTATTGTATGACGTCAGAGGAGTTAAATTATCGGATTTAGTTGCAGATGAAGTTATTGGATTAAATAACAGGTGGAATTATCAGTGTTTAATTTACATGGAAATCACGATATTTTATTGCAACCAATGTAACAAATAACAATAGTTGATTTATACTTAGAAGTTGTACTACCACCAAAACGTGCCAAGAGCTAGTACAAATAATGAGCGAAGCTTAAGATAATTATGCAAAGAGTAATGTTCCACTTATAGAGTCGATTCGGACAGTTAATAAAACGAAGTGGAATTTATTCTTGATGCTAAAAAAATATGTTTTAACAGCAGAAACTGCAGACCTGTCCGGGGCGCATGAGTTCACCACGCCTTTATGGTAGGGTTTGTTTTGCTCAAACTTTGGTTTGTGTTATGTTTTTTTTTACTGATGGGCCTTTTTGCCGTTTTTTTCAGATTTGACCATGGTGTTTTAATTATTCGATTTTTGTCTTTTGATTGCCATCTTGTTATTTTCTTCATCTTTTTACAGATTTTCCAGCTATCGTTCATTAAACAACACAATCTGAAACGTTATTAGGCGCTAATATTTCACAGGGGCATGCGATACAGTAGAAAGGGCGAACAATATATAATGCATCCAAATGCAACGCGTTGATTTTGCAACGTTGCTAATGAAAGCCATACATTAATTCGACGACAATCTCTGACGTCATCAAATCGGTTGCGTGAATTTTAAAGTATTTGACGAGGAAAGCGAACATAAACAAACCCCGCCACATTATGTATGCGACTGTCCCAAGTCAAGATAATTCAGTGGTTGTTGTTTGTGTTGTATATCATATTTGTTTTCCGGATATTGTTTTGTTTAATTTTTCTCGTTTGAATTGATTTAAATTTGTCATTTCAGGGCCGTTCTGTCATCAATAAATTCGTATATGGTAGTAATTGGCATAGTGGTTTGGTGTACGGCGGGAATGGCTGCTAGACGATGTTGCATTAAAAATACATTACGATGTAATTTAGCGCCAAAAATGGGAGATGCGATCTCTAGCATTAACAAAACCAGGTTGTTTACTTCCAGATTAAAAATGAGTACATGGACCCCGACTTTGTTCTTTTGCAATCGACACAGTATTCCGTCAGGAACGTTCTATTGAAATTGTAAGAAAGAATTATGGGTAGACTTTTTTCTATATACTTTTTTAATGACAAGAAAAATTTCTACAGTTTTTTTCAATTTGCAATAATTGTAGCATTTCACACATTTGTTATCGCATTCAGTCTTCATCTTTTGACTTCCTTTAAGGCCTATCGATTAAGAAACACTTTGCAAAAACCGAATTCTTTTTTAGTAGTATGTTGAGGGAGGTTTAAGCTAACTATCAAACCAGGTTTTACCCACCATTTTCTAATGAAATTCTTGTACCAAGTTAGGAACATGACAGTTATTTTGCATTCGTTCCATCGGTTGATAAAGTCTAACGTTTGATTTTGTCAGTTTGTATTGACTTCCCTATTTTCACCTTGGAGTTCGGTATTTTTATTTGTAATACTTTTTGCCTTCCTAGAATGTTTAATCATTCATAATTTGAATACATTTTTAAATTTACATAATGATGTAAGATTCTTGAAGTACACTATTAAAACTTTGGTATACTTAATTTAGAAAGACAACTGAATGAAAGACAGTTTGCAAAATGCTTCTGGTGAGAATAAGATATAGAAAAATTGCCTTCACCTTTTCGATTTTACTGTGTCGAAGTAAAATACATTTCATATTCATGAAATAAAGATATAGGAATTATCGTCAAAAATATTTATATACTAATAAATATGAAGTATTCGTGAAACAATAAATTTCGCCATGAACATAAGCTAACAAATAGAGACAATCTTCTAAGCTAAAAAGAAGTCTTTCTTATACAAAAAATCAATTGTTTTCTGTGTAAACAATGTTTCATAAATCATTGTTTTAGTAGTAGTTAAAAGTGCAAAAACAGCTTGATCATTAAATCCACCTCTTATGAGAACTAACGTTTTAACAATGGTTAATGTTCATTCTCATTTATACCAGAAATTATCAACAAGTCCACTATTCATTATAGTCTTGAAGCAAAGGAGGAGAATTAAACTAAAAACACACGGGATTAATAAATTTCATGACAATGTACTTCTAAAAGTTTTCATCTTATATAATGGAAAAAAATGAGACGTGATGTCCTTAAAACAACAACCAACTAAAAACCAAAATAAAGTAACGTCAATGACTTCACTATTAAAATCACCTCCAGGTCGTATGTTTAAGTCATATGAAACGAATTTGTGGTAAAAATAACGTTACGGAAATCAATAAAGAAATGCATGCGTTTTGGCTAAACTAAGTCCTCTGTGACTATATTTTTAACATTTATTACGAATCCATAAGATGTAGTCGAAAACAAAATTCAATAACGTGATTACTGATTGAAAAATTTGTTGCTAATTAACTTTCGATAAACAATTAACATCGAATCATGGAGCACGTGAAAAATAAATGAGTCGATAGGGAGATGTTAATTTGTTTTTTTATATATATATTCTCTTTGAATTCAAATTTGTTGATTACACTTTGTTCTTACAGTTGTTAATTGCTTTTTGGTGTATTATATTTTTTCATTTTTTTTACAATTGATTAATACTGCATTCCAGTTTGTTTACCTTTACTTTCATCACGGGTTTTCTCTGATTAAGGTAACTGGATATGTTAAAGATCTCAGCAATTTAGAGTACGGGTAGACAATTATGAAGGGTTTTTGTTTAGAACAACTAAGAATATAGTACATACCAAACGTTTTTGTTATAGTATCATATGACTTTAGGCTTTACGTCCCTGATAATGAATCGAACGACTTACGGTCTAAATCAATTGTTTTTTTTTAATTTCAACCACCGAATACTAAGAATGCAATAAGTCAAACTATGGGAAGTATCTCTAATGCTGCTGATATCAAACAAGTTTATATGTGGATTTTTTGTTATCATTCATTTAAAAAGTTATTTTGAAAAGAACTTTAATTATTTATGTTTATTTTCGCGTGGCCATTTTATTCCCCAAAACAACTACAATTATCTTCTATACCATTAATTCTTAGACAATAATGCTGTTGTAGCAACACACCGAAGTAAATGAGGAGATTACTACACCTTTAAGTGTAGAAAGGAAAACATTGCACGATATATATTTCAGTTCATATAGAACAAAAAAATGTAGAAAGTTGATCTTAAAACTTTCATCAGTTAAAGATGGGACCACATGTTTGGAAAGTAAAATACATTCAGTGATAACATTATGCGATTTACGTGTTTTAAATTATACAAAAAAAAAATTAAGCAAAACTAGAGCTTTGATAGCAAACAGACGCTGTATGCAATATTCCAATAGAGAAAAATACGTGTTTGTTCAAAATTATTGTGTCCGATAATTGCTACAAAACTATCATATTCATTAGTCGAAAAACATATATGTTTTTAAGATAAAAAAATTAGTTCGGTATAATGGCCTTTTTGAATGTAGTATAAAGAGATTAAGTTTTAGGATTAGAAAATGTACCCGACCGATGTTTAACGGATTTGGTGATTTCATAGGATTTTTTAAGAGTCAATAACCAATCCTTTTTTGTTTAATGCCAACTTCCTATTTTATAGGAGTAACACGACAGGTGTCACCTGCGGAGCAGAATTGTTTTTACCTTTCTGGGGCACATGGAATCCCACCGAATTTTGGTGGGGTTCCTGTTAATCACTCTTTAGTTTTCTTTAAAGTGTCTTGTAGACTGTTTGTCTTTTTTGTCGTTTCTTTGTTTTTGTATTTATTTTGTCCGTTTCCCTTCTATTTATGATTTGCCACTGAACGTTAAGCAACCAACAATCAATCAATCTATTTATGAATATTTATTGTCCCTTTTGGTATCTTCCGCCTCAATTTTTAAAGATTTTATTGACCGTTCAGTTAGAAGTCAAAAACAGTAAATTACAAAATTTCAGACGGTTTTTATACCGTAATTGCACACAAGCAGTTCCAAGGCATCTTCGAATTCTAATGTTTTCTTTTAAAGTGTGAAAAACTTACAGCCGTTGATTTGAAATTTTGAAAAAAGATGAAAATAACAATATATTACTTTTATGCTTCAGAAGCCTTTTACTGGATTTACCTTCATCGGAACGTTATTAAGCGACATAAAAACTACTCTGACGTCATTCATTCAACAACTACATGTACATCATGCATATTTAATCAGTTTGAGGTTTAACTGTAACCTTAGGCATACTTTATAAATCATGAAGACATAAATGTGCCATATTTTGCCAAAATTCGAGGCTTAATCTTAAAACAAATGTCATTCTTCTGTTTAATGTCTATGATTTAGATGTTTCTTCTTTTTTGCGATCAAAACTTCAATTTCAATCCGATTATAAACATGAACTTTGATGAGCTAATGGTTAATAGCCTAGAAGGTCTAAAATTTGATCTACAGTATAAATATTAATAAATAATATGCTTAAATGCATTAAGATAAGTTATGGTAAAAGTCCTGAAATAGCAACAATTGTTCACACAAAATCCAGATTCATAGATCGATGGACAATGATTTCAGGAAGTACGATTGAAAGCGGCACGCTAACGTGCAATGGTAACCTTTAAATGCAATGATCAACGCCGATTTCGGCGGTAATTACGCTAACTTACTATGTATTTAAGACGCCAGATGGCACATTGATCGCTTTTACGATTTGGGAAAATATATACTGAACATAAACTTGATGACAAGTAATCAAAAGCATATTAATAAAAGAGAAAGTGTATATAATTTGACACATAATATCCCAATGAAATATATTAAATGTATTTGAAAAATATTAAAACTTTTATTTCCAAGTGAATGACAAATATGTGTACGTGTATTTTCAAATTTCACGGTAATTTGTCAAATGATATCAATAACAAGTATTGTGTTTGTTCAACAAAACATTACAAAGGGAAACACAACATTATTTGAATAAAACTATAATAACCTACCGATATTGTATCACTATTTCTTTTCCTCATCTGAAAAAGAAAGAATACAGTAGTTATTATTAATATTATATGTTGGAAGATTTTCAATTGTACAGTTTTATATTCAGAAATTAGATGTCGGTATAATTTGCCGTTTTAGAAACTTATGCATTCTGGGTAATACTTTCACAAGTGACACCAAACTGTGGTGATTGGTTAGCAACGTCCTAAACAATGAATGTACAACCAATGGCATTCTTTAACTTTTTGGGTACGAATAATTAAATTACTGACAATCCATTAGATTCTTAAAGGTTGATCAATTATGACAACAACAAAAAAGATGAAATTATGTGGCATCAACAATAAACTGATAACGATAAAGACTTTTTTAAAGATACAAGTAACTAACAGAAATAAAAGCACAGTTTCTTTTCAATATCATTTTCTAATATTCAGTTGTCTTCACTTTATGACTCACATCCCTCCGTTTTTAATAAACAAAGGTTCTCAATATACAGGAAACAAGACACTCTCTCAATAGAATATACCAAAATCGGAGTTGAAGTCCCCGTTCTGATCGGACGTGGCTGCGAATTTATACATCCCGTACAGCCCAACAGACGCCCTACTTTGGCAAGGGTTTTAATGTCGATCGGCAGAAGATCAAGATATGACCATATTTCGTACATGTAACTCCAGTAACCCTTAAGATTAAACAGTTTAGACGAGAGAAACAAAATGTTATGCATAAACTTAATAAATGTTTCACTGTTGATTTTACCTCCGAAAACAAGAATCACTAGTTCGGAAACGAGAATAAAAATTACGGAAATGATTGACTGCCAAATGTATTCAAAACATAGAAGAAAGAAAATCAAAGATTTGAATGGCATTCAGTAACATTGTAATATCAGCAGTAAGTAGTCCACATTCCTTATCTGCCTGTCACAAAGGCAGGGTCTGTAGTCAGTGGTTTTTGTTGGTTCATGTCTGTTATATTTTTGTTTTCGTACATTGATTTGATTTAAATTAGGCCGTTCGTATTCGCGTTTGAATTGTTTCTCATTTTTCATGTCATAGCCTTTAATGACGACTATACGGTATGGGTTTTTTTCTTGTTAAAGTCCGTACGGTTGCCTATATTTGCTTCCATCCAGTTAATTTGAACTCTGGTTGATAGTTGTCTCATTGGCAATCAAACCACATCTCCTTATTTCTATACAACTTTTTTCTTAAAACTTTTATCTGAACTTAAGATTTGAGTAAAAATCAGAATACATTTTACTGAATATTACAATAGATATATTATATGTAGCAATTCAGTCAAAAATAGCAACAATCTTATATAATTATCGTGTAAGTAAGAAATCAGACTCTCCAGAAATATAATATCTCAAAAAAGTTGTGAACGTGATTAAATCTTGAACGATTCATTTTCAAATTAAGAATCATTATAAAGAGTATTATGCGTCATTAATTCTATAAAACATAAATCCCCAGACTTACTCTATGATATACGACGAAAGAGATTTGACAATACCTTACCTCAACCTTCGAACAAAGTCTCTGATCATACTTCTTATGATTTAAATAAACGTTTTGATGTTCATTCCAATAAAATAACTTTTTTGTATGTTTTTGTAAGTAGGGTGTAGATGTCGGAAAATTTGATTAATTATATGCAGCTTGTGTGTGTAACTTCCAACCTAATTTGTAATGTATATGCAAGACGATGAAAAAACAATCAAAAAATCCAGCTCGTAGAACTTGCAAAGTGATTTGATCGGGATTGAGGGAGGGAAATTGCTACTGCCAGTAGATAATATGTCAATGAGAGGTAGGAGCAGATTGTTTGCCTTGTATTAGTCTATATATGAACCTTTCAATTAGTTTTTGCTAGAATTCCTCAACGTTCTTTGAGCGACATTGATATACTCCCTCCGTTCAGATCGAACGTTGCTGCGGATTGTACACCATGGTCAAACAAACGAATGTCGACGCACCAGATCTTGCTCCTTTCAGAAATCATGTGATTTTCTAACTTTTTATTTGGTACCAAAATTGTTCTATTTATAAGATTTTATCATCGGTATTCTACTGTCGCCTAAATTAAACGATATCAAAATATTAACGGGGCAGCGGATTTATATTTGCAGTATGAGTGTATGAGTGATGAATGAAAAAAACCGCATGAAAACAAACAATGTTGAATAAATCACGAGCAGAATTCTGCAAACATTTATTGGAAACAATCATAAGTTAAAAAAAATTAAGATATACTTACTCCACCAGGACAATTCTGAAACAATAAAACACATACCATAAAAAATATATTTAATTCTATAAAAAGCTTTCCCTAGTGTTAATAACTTCTAATTACTACTACAAAACAAATATATACATAAAGTTTGATATCTCCTTTGGTAGATCAACTTATACAGAAAAATTCCTTCATAAAATTACATCAACTTTTTTTTTATCGACTTGAACAAATATTTTATGGATCATCACAATACATGTCAACAATTTCCCCTGAGACAGCATTCCGTTAGTAATACATCGAATTTATATTTCTTACACTTTTAACAGTTAAACACCCATGGAAAATGATAAAAAATTAACTGAATGACTATATAATACCTATAAACTATAAACTTATATGACATTTCTCTGTAAACAGGGTACAGATTTCAAACACACACACACATACTCATTTATAGATTTGTTTTATATTCCAAACAACCATTCATAATTTTTTCGCAATCAGCTTTTAAACTGTTCAAATTGAAAATGTACACCTTCTTGTCCATGTTAGCAGTAAAATATAACAGTTTTTTTGTAATGCATGTTTGACCATTATTAAAGATTCATTTTATCAACGACTTCACTTTTAATAAAATTACTTTATTCAAATTTCATTTTCAAACATCTTGAATACCTTAATTATTCAGTTTAGGTACAACAAATTGGAATTATCATCAAAGATACCAGATTTAAGGCACTCGATTCCAAACAGTTTTAAACCAAATCAATAACGAAGGTGATGAGCACTGAAAACAAAAACTTCTAAAAAGGTGCCAAATCTCACTAAGGCTATTAATCGTGACTGTAGAACCACCGTAATTTGTGCTTCGATCGGGTATTCGTCATATCATATTTAAGCCTAGTGTCTTTGATAATTTTTTTTTAGACTTTTCGTAACAGAAAATTTGACAGAAAATGATATGTCAGGTGTAAATCATAAAATGAAACTGATAGGAAAAAACAAATAGTACAGGTGAAATAGGTAACTAACTATCTTTTTTCCAAAAACAGAACTAGTAGGAATATGAAAGAGCATTTAAAAAGAACACAATTTAATCAAAGCTAACAGTATGATAATGCTTTGGGACCTATCAACATTGTAACTGTTTTTTTTTATTACCCTTGAATTTTCAATTTAACACGAACCAATGAAACATAATTTGATTTGCATTCCCTTTTGTACTCTTGACTGTATATTTGTTTGTATTGGTATTCATTAACCTCCGAACATACTTGACACTTAAAATGATTTGATTTAAAAGTATTCAAAAAAACTAAAAAAACGTCCAAAGCGCTTATTCGGATTAACTTTCATCAGGAACGCAGAACTCCAGATATTTTAAAGCCAAGGATATGTAAGTACCGAAACCATATATCACTGTGACGGTAATGTTGCAGTTGTTCATGATTGATCTAAATTGATATTGACAAAACTTAAAGCATTAGTATACCATAGCAATTTATTGTTTGAATTTTCATTCAAATTAAAACAAACAGAAAAACAAGGGGTGAGTTTCAAATTGTAAAATAAACATTTGACTGTTTTTGGGGAAATAGAAGCCAATGTTTTGGTGCTGGCAGTATTTATGTTCCATTTCATGCGCACTGAAAACTAATTTCTACCAAATTTTTCCAACATACAAATATGTGTTAATTTTATATATTATTTTGACTTACCCGTGGATGTATCTGTAATTGAAAAAGAAATAGTCTTTACGCAATCCTATAGACAGATCTCATGTGAAAACTACAGAAAATGATATTTTTAATTTGTTGAAGATAAATTTTGTTAAACCTAGACCTCATATCTGATCATTGCAATATACTGTATATGAAGCTAGACTGGATATCCCTAGGTATTGTTTTAATGGCTGAAATTTTAGAAGTTCATAAGATGTTCCTAATTTGAAGCTGTGATTTCATTTCAAAAAAGAAATATTTGAAATCACAAATTTCAAACTGGTTTCCTTTAAGCATTAACAAAGTATCGTATTTCAAAATGGAACAAGTCTACAAGTGAAGATATCAAAAATTTAAAAGAAACAAATCTTATTGTTTTCCTAAAATTTACAAATTGTAAATATTAATGAAATGAAAAGAAATTGAAACTTACCACACACATCTGTAATAAGCAGCAATAAAAAAAGTATAAATTTGTTAATTTCAAAATGTCTGACAATATGAAATATAATAATTCACATCAAAAATGTTTTCGAGCGAGATCTTTGCTTTTCGGCAAAATGTTAACTTTCTAAAAAACAACTCAGTGGTTAATAATTCAGTGGTTGTCGTTTGTTGCTGTATATAATATTTGGTTTTCGTTTATTGTTCTTTACATTAATTAGGCCGTTAGTTTTCTAGTTTTTAAGCCTTTTATAGCTTAATATGCGGTAAGGATTTTACTCATCGTTGAAGGCCGTACAGTGAGCTATAGTTGTAAACTTCTATGTTATTTGAGGGAGATTTGTCTCATTTGCAATCATCATACAACTTCTTATTTTTATATTATCATACCTAGGAAAAAATACCCGAAATATAATATTAAATTAATTTTATTATTTCAGTAGACATAGGCTAAACGTTGTTGTGTTGGTAGTGAAATAATGTGCACTAATGTCTATTGTACCTTTTTGAGAATATAAAGACAATGTATTTAATACAATAAAAAAGTTTTTACCTAACAAGGTAACATTTTGTTCAAATGAAGTTAACGTTTATGTATTTAATTATTGATTGTTTGTGTTTTTGTTTTATGATGAAGCTGCAAGAAAACTTTTCAGGCTTTATCACGGAACAAAAAAAATGGGTAATTCAAAGTGAGGATGATATGGAGGAAAGAGGATCAGACTTAGAGTTCATTTCTTTCTAACACAAACGATGCAAACGGCTAAGCGCGCACATGTTTTGATCATTTGTTTCTAACATACGTTTGCAAAGTTTACATAAACTTTGACAAACTATGCACTCGCTAAAAATGCGTCTACAGTTTGTCGTTCATCGTTTGTTAGTACAAACGCTACATTTGTTTCTAACTTCATCCTGATTAAACGATGTATTTGTTTCTACGTTTGCAAAAATTCTGTTTACCAACAACATGTGCATGCATTATTGGAAGTTCAAACAGGGTCAGTAAACACTGATTTAACGATGTATTTGTTTCTACTTTTGTAGCGTTTAGAAAACAACAACAAACGCCACACAACGTTTACAAAATTTTGATTAGAAAGAAATGCACTCTTAAAAGGGGACGACATAAAACTCTTCAAAATTAAAATTACACATTTGTTTTATTCCGCTATACGTCAGACGATCCCCGACCCCCAAAAAAAGGAAAACTTGGCCCGGGATTTCCACAGGATTTGTTTTCAAATAACCTATATACATATGCATACAACGCTTAAACTGGTACATATGAAGGTTCGTGCATATTATGATAACATTTGTGCACATAAAGTTGGCACAATGTCAATTTGCATAATTAAGAACAAATGTTCAGTACACAATACTTTTTGTCCTAAACCATCGATTGTTGCTTGCTAAACGTCTATTGACAAATATTTCAGGCATATTAAGGACGAGAACACAATAAAAGTTAGTACATTATGTAGGTTTTGGGTAGATCGAGCGGGATGAATAGCAAAAACTTACACTGACCTGAAAATTGAGGGAAATTTGGATAGTAGCGGACATTCAAATTTGCGTCCCTGGCCGTTGCTGCTTAGTAAGCATCTAGCAGAGGCTAATGGGTGAATCACTTTTGATAGAATTTTACTGTTGGACGACAAAAGTCAAATAAAAATGCCATATTTCTATTCCTATACACCATTGAGGTTTAGGTCTCTAAAGAGTACGATGGAGCGTAATCTTTATATAGTAACACTAAACATCTAATATTTTCAAAACTGTTCTCGTGTTTGACTTATTAGTAATTGAAATATGTATTTCAACATTGTCTTAAATAAATAGAATAGGTTGCATACCTATCAGCAATGGAATTCACTTACAGAAAGTGTTTTTCACGACAGGTTCCGCGATAAGTTATAGGCAGCAGAAGTTTACGTATGTTCAAATATTATCAATCCATTAAGAAGATACAAATCAAGGCAAGAAAAACAATATCTGAGGTAGTCTAAAAGGAGCAAGACCGAATGCATCAACAGGGAGGCATATCTTATGCATGCAACCCCTGCCATGCATATCCACACTCGGTCAAAATGTCATAACACTGTGATAAAGATAAGATTGAAAGGATCAATTTTCCTTTCAAAATTTACATGAGCTCAATTATTTTTTTAATTGCATTCCTTTTAACTCAATCTTCTGTTTTCTGTGTTTTTGGACAATTGTTTGTTTTATCTCTTTTTATACGCCCGTCAACATTTTGACGGGACGTATTATGGTATACAAATGTCCGGCGTCTGTCTCTCTGTCTGTCTGTCTGTCTGTCTGTCCGTCCGTCCGTCCGTCCGTCCGTCCGTCCGTCCGTCCGTCCGTCCGTCAGTCAGTCAGTCTGTCTGTCTGTCTGTCTGTCCGTCTGTCCGTCTGTCCGGCGTCCACATGTCGCACCGTAACTTGAGAACGACTTATCCAAATTTCATGAAACTTAACATAGTTGTTTCTTATGATGGTCAAACGATCTGTATACTTTTTGGTGAAAATAAGATTAAAACTTTTTGAGTTACGGGACTTTATAACTAAAACAGGGGGTGTTTTTTTCACATAAAAACTCAAACGTATCTCAAACGTATCTCAAAAACGATTTATGATTATTGCTTAAAACTTTACACACTTCTTAGTTATATTAATCTAAAGATCTGTATACTTTTTGGTGATGATTCAAAATTTTATTTTAGAGTTATTGGGTTTTTTTTTTAAAAAGGGGGGTTTTCACATGTCGCGCCGTATCTCAAAAACGATTTATGATTATTGCATAAAACCTCACACACAAGACGACGGGCGTATCATGCGCTAATGCGCAGCTGTTTATTCATTTAAGTTATGGATTTGCCTTATTGCTGTGTGGTTTCGTATCTATATCATATACTCATCATAGGTACAAGCATTAAAATTCTGTTTTGTCTACGAAAGACTCATCTGTGACGTTCGAATATAAAAAAATATGCAACAGACCAAATAAACATCTGCATGATTCATACGTAGAAAGAAGGGCTAATGAGGGAAAATGCTTTTAAAAATTTTAACTGACCAAGTGCGAAATGTTGTAATCTAATCTATCAATGACATCTATACAAATGATGTCAATGAACCTCGAAGATAGATTTCAACCTACATGGTTTGCAACTGATTGTCTTATAAATCAGGATGCCTTTTTGCGATTTTTTCTCTGCATACAGTTTGTTATGATATATGTTTTAAAGAGATAATAACAAAAAACTTACCACCTTCAGAGAGCAACAAAAATGAAAACAACAAATAAAGTTTAGTATGAGACTAACAATAAAAACGATAAACGGGGTTTTTGACCTTTTAGTATTATACATACAAATATTTATAGGTTATAGTTTTTTGTACTGAAAATAAATGTACTCTTAAATTACAATACATTTTTACATGAAAATCGGTTACTGCGCATAAAATCTCAATAAAGCAAGGTTGATTTCATATATCATACGAATACTATCTCTGAACAGGAAGGTTGCGTGCAAATGAAATTGCTTAAGCATAAGTTTTAAATGTTAAAGATTTAGATAAATTATATAGCGATATCGTACATGTCGTTGAAGTATAAATCGCAAAATATGATAATAACATTTATTTTTTTTTAACATTATTCAATGTTTAACCTACCCGTAATCCCTGTTAGCATGAAACAAACATAAACATATTATTTAGCATGTAAAATAAATACATAAATATAAAAGTAGAATTTTATACTAGAAATAATATACATAAAATATCTAGTTATATAACCGTTATCAATATTGAATACAGCTGTTCAACAAAATAAAGGTTTGTTTTAAAAAGGTGTATGAACACCTGTTTGTGTTAATTGGAGCATACAATACCAATCGCAAGACGAAAATTTTAGGTTAAAAGTTACAGTTAAAATATTTCATTACAATATCATCCCATTTCAGCGTGATTTCAAGGCAAAATTATTGAGCAGTTCTGTCAAACTGCTTTGCACTGCAGCGATTGTATATCCAACTAGGTCATGTTTTTTCTGAAGTTAATAGTTTTGTATCACCCAAGAGTCCACAAGACATACGGACACAGAAAGCGTGTAAACATTTTCAGCGTGCAATAAGTGTCGATTCGGAAAAAAAAACGTACTTTTTCAAGATTATTGTGTCTTCATTTTACAAAGAAACATACGGTAAATAGTTAGCACTATGTTAAACTAAACTATAATGTTTTAGCTGTACACAATGATGTCAATTAATAATTCAGTTTCGAAAATGATCAAAAATATTCTGTCCCTGAATGAAAAAAGAATTCAGGTATCTTTCACGTGGTATCTAATGGACACATTCTCGAATTTTCTAGAATGATTATTTGAGGTACACATTTACTCACCACTAATCCTTTCTGCAACGAAAAAAACAAAATCATTAGTAAATGTCATACTGCGGTGATTACTCTATTTTGATTTATTAAAAGATGTATGTTAAAATTCTATGGCTGTTTTTGACGTGTCGTTATTCGTACCCTACAGGATATTTATTCTAATTGCACAACACACGGTTGCAGAATAACAATATTCATACGGTGCTGTTTTAAAATTATAATTCTTTTTCATGTTCAAATTCAAGTTCATAATCGTTATTGTTAACTTTCAAACTACAGATAATGCAAATTTTTCATATTTTGTAAAGATTAAACCTGAAAATGCACTATCATATACTAAAAATTCAGAAATATTACTAGCATTTATTATTGCGACTTTAAAAGTGCTACATACAAATAAATGTATAAGATATCAAAACGCGAGTTCATATTGTTGCGATCACCC